GGAACTAGACTGCGATCTCAGCATATACCCTTAGAACTGTGAGCCAGTTATACAGATCTAATTGTTATGTATTTCTTTACTGTCTTTTACATTATGCTTGAAGCTTAATAAAGTGTGAATCAATTGGAAATTGAAGTTATTCCCTATCCATACCGTGCAGTATACTGTGGGGCCACTTAAAGTCCCTATACCAGATACCAACTGGGATTTGACAAAGGTGCAGTGCAAGTACACTTTTACAAGGTGAGATCTCCACATAGGGTGTTTAAGGTGGAAGTTTCTCACCTGATAATATTACACCATCTGAAGTTTTATCCCCCCAGATTGTCATTGGAAACATACCTCTAGGAATGTGTTGGAGGATTCTGGAAGGAGTGAATATCTGGTGTGGACTATACAATTTCTGAGCTAATAAGGAACTATTATATAAACTTCAAGATAATACAGGGACCGCCTCTAAATCCCGCCCACAGGAATACACACACACAGACACAAGCACTGATACAAAAGGACACAGATACATACTAACAGACTCACATACTGAAACAAACATACACGCATATAGGCATACATACTGACACACACATACTGAGACATACACAAATATACAGACACACAGGCATACATAGTGACAGACAGACACATACTAACATACATACATACAGACACACACACACACACACATACATACATTCATACTGACATACATACATACATTCATACAGACAGACATACATGCATACCAGGGCCGGACTGGGAATTAAAAGCAGCCCTAGAAAAAAAATATTTACCAGCCCCATATTGCGTCGTGCCAGCATAGTGTGCAGATACAGACTTAGAAAAGATAACTTAAAATGAAAAATTATTACTCCAACTAAAAAAAAGCACTCATAGGCTTCAAAATAAACAAAAGTGCAGATTTATTTTAAGCAGACGTGCCTTTGCATGTAATCAATGTTTCAGTCCAACTACCTTGACATATTAAGGAAAGCTTGGCAATGGGACTGAAATGTGAATGTATGTAGGGCACAACTGTAAAAAAAATGATGTTATCTTGTTTATTTTGAAGTCCTGTGGGTGCGCTCTTCACTTTAAATATGTTATTGTGCTGGAGTATGCACCTAGCACCTAGCAACAAGACTGGGCCAATATCTGCTCATTACATATGGTACATATTAATGACATTTCTCTGTGTATTATGCATATGTTAATGTACATTAATATATGTGTAAATATAATAGGCATAATAATATATATATATATAATATATATATATATATATATAATATATAGTAAGGCGTAGCCTGGAATTGTGGGAGGGGTTACCCGGCTATAAAAGCTCAGGCCCCAGCCAAATCTACACTGGAATCGCTGGGTTCATTCAGAACCTTTGAACTTCCGGTTCAAACTCACCGGGATATCGCTCCCACGTGGTCCGCTCCAGTCTAAGTGCTCCCTGCTAACCCTGTTCGGTACAAGCCCAGCGGTCTCCGTGCCCGGCATCAAGAGCTCCAGCCCGGCTTACTATCGGGGTTCCGGCGAACTCCCATCCTCCTCAGCCATACCCACGGCGGTTTCAGGAACAGGCATACTTACCTACTCCAGGGTCCCAGAACCATGAGTCTCACCCACACCACTCTCAGCCAGACGCCTGGCGTCCATTCACACTTTACACACTGAAGTGGAAAAATCAATTAAAGTATTGATTATTTCTTTGTGTATCTGCCCCTGGCCAAATCAATGAAACAACGCGTGCACGCTCCCTGAAGTAATTCACACCAGACACAGGTTCCAGGTTGTTGAATAACTTGAGGAAAGTTTATTCAGAGGGGACGGCAGGTCCCTTTTAAAGCAAAATTACATCATAAATAATACATCAATAATTGGTTAAGTGTTAAGTGTTTTATTCAAAGCACGTCCTACAGGGTGTGCCTTCTTATGTCATTACTGTCGTCATGGAGTTCTCCCCCAGGATTCCAGCGCCATCTTGAAAATTAGAGTGTTTGGTCGATGGGTGGGGTACTCCTGAGTGACATCTAGTGGTCAGTTTAGTAATTTATTGAATAATATTAAGTATAACTAAATGAAGTAAATAGACATTTTACTAGCTAAAAATATGTCAATATTTCATGTCACCAGGTCCATGAGGGTCTCCCACGGTTTCCCGGCGCCATCTTGCTGCACGAGGTAGTTAGTCGGTGTTTAAAGGGGCAGGGGGAGGAAGGGGTTAGAAGCTTCTAGCAGCCATTTTGATTAAACATGTGTGCTTAACTCTATAGCATAGTGTGAGATGAGTAAATAGACATTTTCCTTTAACTAGGAAATATGTGTAGACCTTATTTCCACAACAGTCCCCCCTAAAATGGCTATTTACCATAACAACTGCTACTGTCCCTAATATATCCCTAATGATATGCTCCTAATCTATCTCAGTAGGCATCGAACACTTCACTCCGTGGGTAACCCGCAGCGGCTAATCCACTACATCTCCACACGTGAGACTCGCCTGCCAAGACAGATGCTTTCCCTATACTATCCCTACAGGAAAGCAGTTGTCTGTTTGAACTGATGTGCTTGAAGGGGTGTATGTGGTGTGTCATCTTCGAGGTCTGTGACGTCCTGATGTAGGAAAGTAAGGGTCACGTCAACTATAGTCTTATCTACTGCTTTTTGTAAGTACTTCTGTATGCAAGGGAGTACGCAACAGGTTAGAAATAAGAAAATGATGATCATTATAAGAACAGCTGTCCCTACCTGGAAGAGGGTCCTTTGCCAACCATTCATCCATCCAAACCATCTGTCCCAAGTGTCAGTGACTCCTGAATTTTTCTTTAGCTCGTCTGCAAGACTATCTAGCTTCTCTATGGCCATAGTCACCTTACCATTGGGCCCAGTGTTGTCTGGAATGTATGTGCAACATGTCATGGTCTCAGTGAGGATTTTACATACACCCCCTTTCTCAGCTAAAATCATATCTAGGGCCATTCTGTTCTGAAATGTCATTTGGGTAGTGGCTTGTAATTACTCTGCCAGGCCCTGTAGGGCATCCCTAGTGTAGTTGACAAAGTGCTGTTGATTATAGTAAATGTAGTTAATCCGATTGACATTTTTGTTAGCAGTTATCATTGGAATTAGGGATTCAAATCCTGCAGCCACTTCATCTTTTGCTTTGTATTCTTTAGGCACCCCCCTTGGCACACCTATGGCATCAATATACACATGGGGGTCAAAGCTCCCTCGGATAGGAGCCCCTCGTTTGGTTCTAGAGTGTACATGTGTAAGGTTTAACGTGTTATGACTACCATCTGGAATAATGTGGATAGGCATTATGACTTTGGTTAGGGCACACTCCCCCCACCATTGTTCAGCTAATTGGGACCTCAATTGTCTGTCACCACATAACCAATAGATATCTCCAATGGTCTTTGCATGGTTTATTAGCAGTGACACAGGTGGGCTATGGTAGGTTGAGCAATATCCAGATGGGAATCTGCCCAGATACACACCAGTATTCTTAGGCATAGCATAACATGTGTAATTACCTGGATACACGGTGACTCCATCAGGTGGCTTGACATATCCATGAGTGATTGGGTAAACCCTTTTCCATGATTCACATGTTGAGGAGTTGGTGGTGGATTGTGCATAAAGACTCAGAACACATAATTCTACTTCAGGAGGTAGGCTTAGAGGTACTGTGCCCAGATGGGGCCTGGCTCCTCCACATACATAACAGTTAGTCTTATTATGTGAGTTGGCGTTATATCTCATCCATTCTAGCCACAAATTAGTGTCTGAAAACCCAGTCTCTACTGTCATAGTGTCTTCAAAGGTGGGATTGGCTATAGCTACCATGTCATGTAGAGTCTTAATATGTGGTTTTAACGTGTTAATAGTCATGTGAGTGGTTCCTACCCAGTCTGGTGAGGTGAGCCTTTTTGCTAGGTATGTCTTTGTATATGGCTGCATATTGTGTTTGTGGAAAAGGTGCAAACAACTATGTCACAGTAATCTAAGGTATATGTAGCTACATCTGTGTTAGAAGAATTGTACCAGAAAAGTGTAAACATGATTATCTTTGGTTATGGCCGCTTGTTGTCCCAAGCAAAGTGCAACAACATAAGAAAACACAAGACACATAATAAATTCATGTTTCAGCAAGAACAGCCTCTTCTGGAGCAGGCACTTTTTTGTAATGTGAGGCGTGTATCCAAGAACTCTTCCCGGCTAGTTTAACTGACGTTGCTGTAATCAGGAGCACTTGATATGGGCCATCAAATCTTGGTTCTAGGGTGTGTTTCCTGAGAACCTTCTTGACCATAACCCAATCACCAGGAAGCAGCTTGTGTGTACCTGTATTTGACTCAGGATCTGGAATAGAAGAAAACACTTGGGCATGTATTTTGGTCAAGGCATGTGAGAGGGCAGTCACATAGTCTACCATAGCATCTGACTGAATCTGAAGCTGTTGGGGAAAGTAACAACCTAACCTGGGTGCTGTACCAAACAAAATCTCATAAGGTGATAGGCTATATTTTCCCCTAGGATTGTACCTTACACTAAACAACGCTAATGGGAGACTCTCGGGCCAGGGCATGTTAGTTTCTTGTGACATTTGAAGCATTCTGGCTTTCAAAGTGCCATTCATGCGCTCTACCTTACCACTACCCTGTGGGTGATATGGTGTGTGGAATGCAAGGATCACCCCCAGTGCTGGCCAGACTTCCCGTGTTAGCGAGGCAGTGAAGGAGGTCCCTTGGTCACTTTCAATTACTTCTGGAACTCCATAGCGGCAAACAATTTCTGTCAAGAGATACTTGGCTGTAGTCCTCGCGGTGAGATTAGTCACTGGGAAGGCCTCTGGCCATCCTGAAAACATGTCCACTATGACCAATGCATATTCATAACGTCCACTCTTTGGCATCTGAATGTGATCAATCTGGATCCTCTGGAAGGGGTATTGTGGTTTAGCTAGATGATTAGGTGCAGTCTTTAAAATCTTTCCAGGATTGCATTTAGCACATATAGTACAAGATTTACAGTAATTCTGTGTTAAGGTAGTGATGCCTGGTGCTTCAAAATACTTGTCAATCAATGAGTTCATCAGATGTTTTGACAGGTGGGCTGGCCCATGGGCCCATTGGACCACCGCTGGATACATATTTCTGGGTAGGCAAAACTTGAGATTGATAGTGTAAACATCATCACGGAGTACAGCTCCTTTGTTCTTCCAACTTTGTTTCTCCTGGGGAGTAGCAGTAGCTGGTTGTTCCTTTAGAAGCCTAAGATCCGTAGGCAGTGTCTGCATGGTGTAGATGGGCACTGCGTCTGTGGCCACTCTTCTGTCCACTTCCCATCCTTGTTGTGCTGCTTCCTTAGCGGCCTGATCAGCTAAGTGGGGAAATATCAGGGTCACAGTCTATGATGAGTGGGTCCTCACAGACGTCTGTGTGGTACCTAGGGTACCCTGCTGTACAGTAGTTAATAGTCTTTTTGCTGGTCCCCATAGAAGTCAGTTGTTCTTGGTTCATTTGACTCCAGGTCTTTCCATGAGGTGTCAGAGGATCTGGTGAGAGATATGTGTGGGATAGCTGTTTCCCAATGATGGTAGAGATGTGTCATGTTCTCTGGAAGATGGACTAAGATGAGCATGGTACCTGTGGGGTCCCATAACAAGTCAGTCAGGGTAATTGGAATTTCCTTGAGCTGGAATAATTCTTCCTCATAGTTCATATCAGGGCCTGGTCTGTCTTTAAACCATAAGGTGCAGTGAAGTAGGGCCTCTGATTGTTCATTATGTGGGGGTGCAGCTGCAAATCTGCTCAAACCTCTGGGTTGATGTCCAGGCTATACCAGTAATGCACAATTCCCCCCTTGGGAAGTGGCAGAAGAGTGGCCGGGTTCAGGGAGAGACATCGCTGAAGTTTCACATTGTCAGGTAACAGTAAGGATGTTTGTAGACGAAGGTAACGTTGAGAAGAAAGGTGCTTAGGTTGAGTTTGTTGCAGGATTGCAGTAATGTCATGAGGGGCCAACACTGTGAGGTGATGGCCAAGAACAAAGTCATTAGTCTTGTCCAAGAGGGCACTGGCGGCAAACACAGCACGGAGGCAAGAGGGGCTGCCCCTTGCAACAGGGTCAGGCATGCAGGAGAAATAGCCAATAGGCCGTTGTCTGGACCCATGTTTCTGAGTAAGGACTCCGGAAGCATGCCCTGATTTCTCAGAGACAAACAAATTGAAAGAGAGTTGGTAGTTGGGTAGGCCCAAAGCAGGTGCAGAAGCAATGGCTCTTTTCAGAGTATGGAAACAGTTAATAGTTTCTTCAGTGGGATGAAAGGGCTCACTCCTGAGGGCATCATAGAGTGGCTGCATGAGTTTGGATGCTTCAGGTATCCAGGACCTGCAGTATGTGATGAGTCCCAAGAAAGCATGAAGAGAGTGATGAGTTGCAGGTAATGGGAGTTGCAGGATAGCTTGCACCCGTTGTGAGGTTAGATGTTTGGTGCCATGGGAAAGGCAATGTCCCAAGAAGACCACAGAGGGCCGGCACCATTGTAGCTTTGATTTTGAGGCCTTGCACCCTGCAGCAGCGAGGAAACATAGGAGATCTTCTGAGTCACGCTCTGCAATAAGCAAATTAGGAGCACAGAGAAGGAGGTCATCAACATATTGAAGTAGAATAACATCCAGATGAGATTTCTGCCAGGGATCCAAAACTAGAGACATGGCATGAGCAAACTGTGTGGGAGAGTTCTGAGCTCCCTGAGGCATAACAGTCCAGGTATATTGTTGTCCTTCATGTGTGAAGGCGAAGAGAAAATGGCAGGAAGGGTCAAGGGGGACACTGAAAAAGGCATTAGCTAGATCCACTACAGAAAAAAATTGTTGAATTGGGTGGCACCTGGGACAAAAGGGTATGGGGGTTTGGAACAATAGCAGTGTCCTTTATGGTTACTTCTTTAACAGCACGGAGGTCCTGTACCATGCGGTACTGGTCGGGTTGGCCCTTAACAGTTCGCTTTTTAACAGGGAAAAGTGGGGTGTTGCATGGAGATGTGCACTTGGTGAGGGCACCTTTGGCAAGCAGAGACTCAACTTGTTTGGTGATGGCTTCAGCTTGTGCTGGCTTCAGAGGATACTGAGGTCTACGAGGAGGAAGTGCTCCAGGCAGGAGCTGGACCAGGACGGGGGGTACATGTAAGCGTCCAATATCATCCGGGCCGGTGGACCAAAGTTCTTGGGGGATACGATCCAGAGCACTGGGGGGGGGTGTGACCCGTGCACTCCCTGTATTGTCAGTTAGGTTCAACAAGATGGGGAGTGAGCAGAGTACAGTGGTGTCTGTCTGTGATAAGGGTGTAGTTAACTGGACCCTGGAGCCGAGAAAGAACATCAGCACCCAAGAGGTTAATGGGACAAGTAGAAGAAACAACAAAACGTGAGAGTATGTGTGAACCAACATGCAGGAGTGTAGGGAGGGGGCTACTGCGGGGTGTACCATCCACCCCAACACAGGAGACATCGGTGTCTGACAAAAAGGAGGGGTCATGGCAGGGGTTGCTGACACAGGCTTGCCGGTAACCTATTGCAGTAAATCTAAATGGGCCTGGTCGGGTCCTTGGTACCGGTGGGTAGAAGTGGGAGGGTGGCTGGACTGCATAGGAGCACGGGCAAGGCGGCTTTGTCGAGGTAGGGGCTGAATATCTCGGAAACCACCCGTGTCAAACCCATCAGCGGAGGCTGGAGGGTATGCACGGGCCTCTAAAGCAGGGGGCCGGCTGGGATGGGCGTGATAGGTGAGTATTAAGGGTGGGAGGAGGTGGAGGAGGAGGAGGTAAATCAGTGGGAGGCGGGGCAGGAATCGCGGAATTAACCAGGGAGGTAACAGCAGAGAAGAGGGCGGATGTCGAGCTAGACAGGTCATTGGCCATGGTTGGGTCAGGGGTCACCGGGGGAGAGGTCGGAGGGATGGGAACAGGGGGCTGGGTCGTAACAGCGTGGGTAAACCAGTCGGGGGAGGAGGAGACAACGAGGTAGAGGGGGCCGGGACTTCGGGAGGAGGAGGTAACACTGGAGAAGGGGTGGTAACGGGGGGTTGGGTCAGGGCGGTGAGGGCAGAAATCAGGGACGGCAAATCGGCCGAGGGAGGAGGAGGCAACGAGGTAGAGGGGGCCGGGACTTCGGGAGGAGGAGGTAACACTGGAGAAGGGGTTGGAGGGGTGGTAACGGGGGGCTGGGTCAGGGCGGTAAGGGCAGAGATTAGGGACGGCAAATCAGCCGAGAGGGGAGGAGGCAACGAGGTAGAGGGGACCGGGATATCGGGAGGGGGTACCACTGGAGAAGGGGTTGGAGGGGTGGGAACGGGGGGCTGGGTCAGGGCAGTGAGGGCAGAGATTAGGGACGGCAAATCAGTCGGGAGGGGAGGGGACAACGAGGTAGAAGAGAGGTCCGGAGGCATAAGGGAAGCGGGATCAGCGGGAGGACAAGGGTCTGGAGGATCTGGGGCGGTGGGGTGAGTAAGGTCGAGAGGGCAGAGAGCGGGGCAGCGGATGGAGACGGGTGAGTGGGTAACACTGGGGAGGGGTCAGTCGAGGTGGAGAGGGGACGAGAGGCAAGCATAGGTAAAGGTGGCGGGGGACAGGGAGGCGGAGGAATGTCATTTAACGTAAAGGATGTTACTGTAAACATACGATTTGTAACTAGCAAGATTCTATTAAGTAAAGATACAATGTTTAAAATAACTTGCATTATTTTGCAATATCCCTTGTTGCAAGACACAGGCATTAATGAATAATCATCAGGATAATTAGCTGTAATGCTCTTATATTCGTGCCCTACAGAACTCATTTGTAGGTCACACCACAGGTGCAAATGACTCTTTAGCAACCTCTTTCTTTTTTTTTTTTTTATATCACGGACACATTTCTGATACAGGGAAACAAATGGCATGATTGTTTTAGTAACTATAACGTTTCAGTTCATAATATGTAGAGTGTAAGGAAAACAACATGTCTCTAAATAGGACGAGCATGATAGGGGTAGGCCTCATGATGGAGGCAGCCATGACAGGGGCGGGGAAGGAAATGACAGCAAGGGAGGAAGTGAGGTGACGTCCATGATAGGTGTGGGAAAGGAAGACAGGAGGTGTGGGCATGGTAAGGGCGGAAGTGACGTTACTTTAGAAGCAACCGTGACTGTGGATAGGTCACGGGACTTTCAGGGTCAACCTCCTTCTGTACTAGGCGCCATCTTTAGGGTGGTGGCTGACGTACTTTCAACAATACACCATATTATAACTAATAAAATAAGTCAGAGAAGCAACATTCCGTTCTGCAAAATGAAATACTAAACTATGAACAGACCTGGCAGGTTAAATAAGACAGTTGAGAACATTATGCATTTAACAGCCCATAAAGCTGTCCATAGAAAAATGTACTTTAACATGATAAACTCACGGAATTCAACCAATTTCCCTTATCCTCTAGCCATTAATCACTTTCCTCCTCTTATACTGACTTAACAACATCGCACATTCCCTCTATCAGTGTTAACAGGCTACACCTTCCTAAATCCCGTATTCAACACTGAATGCAATCTTGTGAGCTCGTCACTCCCACAATCCTCAGTACCTTATCTCAAAAATTAAATTAAAAATATATATATAGCACTATGGAATCTGTTGGCGCCATGCAAATGGCAACAATAATAATAATATTACACAATTATAGCTCCATAACCTGCCTGACAACGTCTATGTATGGAACAATGTACACAATACTACACAATTAGAATATTTTCTCTCTAACTCTTATCAGTAGCTCCGAAATGCAGAAATGTAGGCAAGCGTGGAGTAGGGGTGGGAGAAAGTGTGACAGTGCAAAAAGGGGAGAGAGAGAAACTGCAGGCATGAAGATTAACCATGTGAGCTCCGTAAAGTAACAAGACAGAAGGACAGAGATTTATACGTTTGGAAACCAGAAATCTTTGCTAACTTTTTCATTTTCAGCATAGCTTCTTCCCCTGCCCTCTCTTTAACAATATCACAAGCCAAATACCCCTTAGCTGGTCTAGCATGTACTTGCCCCTTTTTGACCAAGCGAGGTCTGCCAAGTAAAGGAGACCAAGTGAGAGGGAAGAAGAAGTAGGAAAGTCTACAGTGCTCGACTGACTAGTCACGATGGTCTGTGCACCCGGGGGAGGTGGCCACAGACCGGAGGGGGCGAGCGTGGGTGACTAACACAGCTCTGGGCAACAAACACAGGAGAGATAAAGGACAAATGAAAAGATGAAAGTGGTTACACTAACAAGAAGACATTTGCAAAAATCACAAACATAGAGATGAGTGTAAACCCCAGAATCCAGAACTAGCCACACTATATACATACACACACACACACACCAAGGGTACCCACACTGCAACAACAATTAAACAAAAAACCACAGAATGACAGAGAGTAAAATGGCCATGTACATGTTAACACCACTAGTACCAAATATTTAAAATGTAGCAATCCCCAGCCCTCCCCCACCAGGCTGGCCCCGTTATAACACAAGTACCAATGAAACTCTGCAGTAATCAAACAAAATCCCAGCCCCACCGGCTGTAATGCGTTCCCTGCCCGCTAGGCAGTCAAGCTAACATAAAATCCCAGCCCCACCGGCTGTAATGCGTTCCCTGCCCGCCAGGCAGTCAAGCTAACATAAAATCCCAGCCCCACCGGCTGTAATGCGTTCCCTGCCCGCTAGGCAGTCAAGCTAACATATAAAACCCAGCCCCACCGGCTGTAATGCGTTCCCTGCCCACTAGGCAGTCAAGCTATTGTCTTTTAAAAAGGGGGAAAACACACACACCGGCCGTCACACACATTCAAACAAATACAGGAGGCAGATAGACAATCGACAGGTTCACTTTAAAAAGGCACACCGGATGAGCTAATTACCTGTCTCTAGTAGCCTTCTGGAAGCCGGAAGTGGACTCGGAGACAGACCGACACAAAACAGGAGAATAACACAGGCAACGGCTGTATTATGGAGGTGATCAGGCTCCGCTTGTCCCATTTTCTGGGGGTCCGCTCTGGTCCTTGGTATCCGGCCCTCCGAACCGGCAAATCCGGGGCCCCACGTTATGGGCGCCAATTGAAATGGAAAAATCAATCAAAGTATTGATTATTTCTTTGTGTATCTGCCCCTGGCCAAATCAATGAAACAATGCGTGCACGCTCCCTGAAGTAATTCACACCAGACACAGGTTCCAGGTTGTTGAATAACTTGAGGAAAGTTTATTCAGAGGGGACGGCAAGTCCCTTTTAAAGCAAAATTACATCATAAGCATTGTCAGAGATAACATGGAATAATACATCAATAATTGGTCAAGTGTTAAGTGTTTTATTCAAAGCACGCCCTACAGGGTGTGCCTTCTTATGTCATTACTGTCGTCATGGAGTTCTCCCCCAGGATTCCGGCGCCATCTTGAAAATTAGAGTGTTTGGTCGATGGGTGGGGTGCTCCTGAGTGACATCTAGTGGTCAGTTTAGTAATTTATTGAATAATATTAAGTATAACTAAATGAAGTAAATAGACATTTTACTAGCTAAAAATATGTCAATATTTCATGTCACCAGGTCCATGAGGGTCTCCCACGGTTTCCCGGCACCATCTTGCTGCACGAGGTAGTTAGTCGGTGTTTAAAGGGGCAGGGGGAGGAAGGGGTTAGAAGCTTCTAGCAGCCATTTTGATTAAACATGTGTGCTTAACTCTATAGCATAATGTGAGATGAGTAAATAGACATTTTCCTTTAACTAGGAAATATGTGTAGACCTTATTTCCACAACACACACCTATTCACTAAGGACTGTCATTCATACTTACCTTACCGCTCTGGGCTTTGTTCGGTACCGCACTCCACAGGCACATTCTCCCCCTGGCACTTACCCTCCAATGCTGGTCGGTAAACTGGCCACCCGGCTGAACTTTCAAATTTTTTCTATACTAACAATACGCATGGCTGCTCACGACACCCCCTGGTGGGGAAACAAACAAACAAAAAAATATATATGTATATATACATCAGCACTTGGAAATGTTATATGTTATGTTTTCTGATACACATCGGCTGCTCAGAACGACCCCTGACGGCAATACATATTGTTACACAATGTTATGCTTTTAAATAGTGTCTGATCCTATTTCTCTCGCTTTTCCTTTCTCCCTTGCAAAAAAAAAACGACAATACGCTTAATATACCATAATAATCTGTCAATCATGTTTTATTTTCCAACATTACCTATGCTTATATTCGTTACCTGTCACCTATACAGGTATTTTCTAAAACCTTACCCAGTCTATCGGCAACACCTGAACCTCCTCAGACATATACCTGTCAAAGACAAACTCCGTCTTTGATCATACGGTAAGGAATAATCTACCCCATACAAGAGGTTGTCCTGTCCATTGCCATGTTCTTCATATGAGGTTCATTACTTAACTCCTTACGCCCATCTCCTCAGGATTCATTTCTGGTTCATTCAAATCCATTTTCAACACCTCCCCTGATACTTGGAGCTATCATCGGACACCCATCCCTAGCCTACTACAGGTATTAGATTTATAATTTACGCTTCACTTTGTCCTTAAGCCTGTATATATATCTAAGGGGATACAAGAGATAACTTTAGCTTTTCCTCAGATTATTACCCCAACTGGCGTTCAAGCTATCATCTAGACAGCACCATTATTTACAGCATCACCAGGTAAAAAAAAAATAAAAAAAATATTATATACATATTTTATTTTACGTTCACGTTCCGAATCAGTTTAGCCGCCCTTAACCACCTGTTTCATTCCACAGACTCCAAAATAAAATATCCTTCAAATTCTACGTCGAAACTCGTACGTCAAACAATAGGTACGGTCGCATTACTATTACTATTACTTACTTAAAACAACAGGGCGGTCAACTGGTGATTTTAGAGTACGGCCCCTAGCTAACATATTGTAAATTCAAACGGTTCCTGGAGGCCAACACCCATCCTCATCGGAGGTATACGCCCCTTGGCCCAACGCATAGATAGAGCCTCACGAAAACCAACCTTGGTTACCAGTTAGGGCCTCACCAGTCACAGCCAATTTAATCCTTTTTCTTGTTACAGTCACTGAGAGGCCAACGTTCCCGCCACATCATTAAAATGGTCCCCGTCCAACCGGCCCTCCGCATAGATTCCACTACATCTTGTGATGCGATCAGCAGAGATACAAGGTTTATGTCCTTGCCTTCTAGAATGTCTTTGCGTATTGTCGGGGGTACAAAATGTGCAGGTGTGATGATGTGGGTGGATGTGCTTGGTATAGGGTTTAAGGGAGTGTCATTACCGTGAGGGAGGAGAGACGAAGTGAGGGTTGGTATGGGTGAGGTGACTGTCGTCATCTCTCTCGCCACTTGGCACTAGTAGGGCCTCACCTTCCTCATAGAATAGTTAATGTTTCGCCTATGGGCATAGCTAGCACCAGTTGACTCAGGCAACTTCGCTCATTATCAAACTCCGTCTCTTACCCTGTTTTCAATTTTTAGTATGTCTCAATCCCATGACCAAGAAGAAGAGCTGGCCATACCTGAAACCCCAACCAGACCGGCAACCCCGGCGGGCCCAAGCACACCCACCGAAAACCTAGAATCAGCCAGCCCATACGCTCTCAGGTCATGGACCATCCCCAAGCTCGCAGCCGAATTACGTCGCATGGGGGTCCCGTTTCCAGCTACAGCCCGAAAAGCCGAACTATACAAACTTTTCATAGCTAACACGTGTACTCCCCAACCAGGAGTAGTTCTGCATTCGGAAAACTACAACGAGATCAAGGGTCTGATGTCATCCCTCTTGGCCTCAATTACCACGATCAGCGCTAGGCTGGATAAGCTAGAAACCCCGCAGATGACGACAGTCACCTCACCCATACCAACCCTCACTTCGTCTCTCCTCCCTCACGGTAATGACACTCCCTTAAACCCTATACCAAGCACATCCACCCACATCATCACACCTGCACATTTTGTACCCCCGACAATACGCAAAGACATTCTAGAAGGCAAGGACATAAACCTTGTATCTCTGCTGATCGCATCACAAGATGTAGTGGAAAACAAGGCATACTGCTACGGTGATCTTTCGGTTGTGCTAAAAGCCAGAGATCCCAGGCTCAACCGGAAACTCACCATACCTGAATTCGTCCTTGCCTTCGGCCTCTACCGTGACGTAATCTGTTCCACATCCCCGCACCGTAGGGAGGAATTGGACTTGTACATGCACAAGTTGGTGGACCCAGGGCATAAGTATGGGGGTTTTTCCTTCTATGATTATCATAAATCCTTTTCGGCCAAGGCGGCAGCATCCCTAACTCAATTTAACACTCATACCAACTGGAGTAACCTGGATACAGAACTTTTTTGCCGCCATTTCGCTGGCCAAAAACCTCCATCCTGTGCCCTGTGCGCCTCCATCTCACACTCCACCAACTTGTGCCCAGTCGATCCTAACCTTCCTACCACTAGTCGTGCTACCTTCGGTTCCTCCACTGCAGAACACAGAGGATTGAAGGACAAGTTGGGTAGACCCATAGTATACCTTGGGAAAGCACAGATCTGCAACAACTTCAATTCAGGAAGTTGTGGTTTTAGCTCATGCAGACTGCTGCACGTCTGCTCAATTTGCTTCAGGGCACATGCAAAAACTATGTGCCCCAATCGTCTGTACCCAAAACAATGACTAACCGAAGTTAGCATTGACAACCTGGCATTTTACCTCCAGGCACACCCTTCCCTTCACTTAGTCAACTTCCTCATTCAAGGCTTCACTGAGGGTTTCCACACGGGCCTAGTCACACTTCCCACAGGTATTCTCGAATGTCCCAACTTACAGTCAGCTATCCTTGACCCAATCACCACACAGTCACTGCTCAAGACCGAACTGACTAACTGGTTTATCGTGGGCCCCTTCGCTCACCCTCCGTTCACCAGCTGGCGTACCAACCCTATAGGTATCGCCACTGGGAAGTCCAACAATAAAAAAAAGACTTATTTATGACTTGTCCGCTCCTCATTCTTTAGCTACCCCCAGCATCAATTCATTAATACCTTCAGAAGAGTTTTCCCTGCAATATACTTCAGTAGACAAGGCCATTCAATCCATTCTTAGGGCAGGAGCGGGAGCCTGGTTGGGGAAAACAGATATTTCCAATGCTTTTAAGCTCCTACCCATCCACCCATCCCTGTGGCATGTGCACGGCATCAAATGGGAAAACAAT